TATAGAAACAAAACAGTACATAATGTTACTCATCGCTGTGCACACACACTGACAATAACTCAACCATATGAAGAACAAACCATCTGTAGAGAATGAATACAGCAGCAATGAATACTGATTGTGAAATTCTTGCACTGTATCCAGTGTGCCTCTGGGCAATCTACAGAGGTTGTTGTGTTTAGTCATCACTCACTCAGCAACTGGAAAATGTAAACTTTACAGTATGTACCCAAGTTGATGGTGTGATTCAGTTATCAGTCATTAACCACTACATATGGGATCTGTAAGATGAAGTATCTGCTTCTCAAAAGGTTTCAATAAAAAGTTTTCAGGACAAAAGTCAGGGGAACATCGTGACTCGCTGTACTGGAAATGGGGGTCTGGCTGAAATGTCCGTGGCTTGGATGTTCAGAAGTAAGCTGTGACTGTGACTAAATCAGAGTCTCATGTGACACTTTCTTTTCTTGTCCCCTGCCATTGCACGTTCTGCACATTTTCTCTCTCTTTCTTTTCTCAAGCCGGGGCTCTGACACTCTCTCTGGCACACTGTCTGCTTTAGTGTGTAAAGCTGTAGAGCTCGAGATGTGTCATCAATCATCTGTGCTGTGAGCCGGGAGGGCGAGCGAGCAGCACTTCAAACAGGGCTCCTTCTGCAGGTGTGGGATCAGAGGCCTTGTCCACACTGAAATCCTTCCCACTCCCACTCAACTCCTCACCCCTCTGCTCCCAGATGACTCTTTTTTCCACCCTACACTGTATCTTTGTATCTTCACTGGGTCCTTTTGAACTCCGTACCAAAATTTTATTTGCCACTACTTTGATCAGATTTCTCCAAGATATGGAGGTATCTGTTGTAGCGAAATCCCTAAGCCCTAATTCTCATCTGTAGCAACATTTACAAATCCTCTACCACAGGCCACATGTTTTAAGTGAAATTCCTGCTCACTAATGTATTTTCTCAGCACAAAACAGCATTTTAGACATACACCAGATTCAAGGTTATATAGTTTCTGACTTGTGTTTGTGCTTGAATCTGTTCAGTGATTATATTCTCTATGCATTTGTCACATTGCACACATTCACATACTGACACACACGGGCAGACCTCGTCTGTGGCTTCCAGTCTTCACATGTTTGCATGAATACATTAAATTCATTGCAGTGACTGATAGATGGCTGTGCATTTGTGAATTTCTCAGACAGAATCATGTACTACATGATACATTTGATGTGTCAGCACGTGTATATTGTGTACTGCACATGTGTGATCATATAATACGAGTGACGTGTAGTCTAGGAGGATCTGTGTCATTCAGACGAAATCAACAGTTACAGTCTCTGCCCTGTTTACAAATTGGCAAAGACTTTGTGATGAACAGTGGCATTATGAAATAGAACTGTCATTTGGAAAACTAGCCTTGTGAAATAAGAACACACCGCTCACACACACACACACAATTCTGTCACTTCTAGTGTCCTCTTATTGCTCGCTACCAGTAACATGTCCCCTATATGTCTGAATCTAGATTATTGTCTCTGAGGACTCCACGATCACAGTTCAATCTCATTCACCAGTCTGCCTGTACAGACCGTTCCAATGTCTGAACATACATCAGAAACTTTATCCACAGTAACAAGCACTTAGGCTGTAGTCAATACCATCTCAAAGATAACATGTGAATCAAATTAGAGACACATCAAAAGCTGGGCCTTATTTAGTCAAAACCGAGAGTAAAGGCTCGGGATCGGAGCAGGTAAGTCCAAATCAATACCAACACCCCAAGCAGAACGGACATTACATGACACTTGAATATTTGCATCATTTCTTCGGGACAAAAACAGCTCAAACACACACCAAGCAACCAAATCATTTTTCTCCATGATCATACATCAAATATGTATGTATGGTTAAATAATCTCAGTTTTTTAGTTGATAAGATAGACGTGGGTTTTACAGCATGAAACGGTGATGTAGCTGACATCAGACAGATGATTCTTCATTACACACTTTTGCTGTTTATAAGGAATTGTTTTCGAGCCACCCTCGCATCTGTCAGAAAGAGACACTCCTTGTATGATCAGTTTTACAAGAATTAATTCCGTTTGTATCTGCATGAAAGGTATGCAGGCATCTTTATGTGTCAGCTTCCTGTGGCAGCACTTGTGAGCGTAGTGCGGCGATGGCTAGCGAGGTGTGTCTGTCCCACACACAGCCACTCATCAGGGTGAATCAGTAGGAAATGGTAGCAGGAGAACAACAGGGGCAGGCTGAGCGCGTCGGGCACGGTTCATTTTTCTCCCGAGGCAGAGGGCGGCCCACTGGTGACTTTGATGGATAGGAATGCTGCTCACCCACCCACACACACACACACGCCCACACATGTCCCACACACTCTCAGACTCACACAACAACTCACACGTTATTGCTCGCACATGTACACACGTACACAATACTCGTAGACTGGTACACACACACACACACACACACACACACACACACAGGCTGCTGTGTCTCACCAGATCTGATATCCAACGTGAAATGTTTACGACCCGCCTACACGGCCTTCCGCCCTTGTCAATAAACTCTTCCCAGAAGTATGTGTGATGCATTATCACACGAGGGTTGCTCTTGCATCCTCCATCACAGGCTTGCCCATGTGCATCCTACTGCACCATGCAGTACACAGTGAAACACATTTGGCTTTTAGGGCTCCATGATGATAAATTTGTGCATTAACGCAATGCTTTTACTTAATCACATTATGATCTATCATATTAGCGCGGATAGAATGAGGGGACATACTGTACTAGCTACTGTGGATTAAAACAAATGGCGCACTGAAAGGAGGTCTCTAGCCAAAAAAACATAGACAATGTCAAGATCAATATTACATGTGGTCAGAGTTTGCCAGAAGACATATCAGATTGTCAGCTCAACTACAAGGTCTAATTCAGGCCAATGAGGTCAGAGTGTTCTGCATGACCCGAGCTCTGTCGACAGCCAGACCTGCTGACAAGCACAGCCAAGAACTTGACTCTCAAGCAGCCAGAGTGACAAACATCGACGCACATTAGCTTCCGCTCTGCACTGAAATCTCGTACACACAGATCCACTCTAATGTGCTCCTGCCAGCATGACAAGCGTCAAAACAAGCTGCGGAGCGAGCTAATTCAAAAGCGCAGCGTTTGACTCAAACAAAGGGTTGTGTTTCAAGGAGAGGAGGGAGTTTAACCAACTCCTTTCACTTTGTTCCACTGAGTCAGCATCTCTCAGAGAGAAAGAAAGAGATTGGAGACAGATAAAGAGAGGGAGCTGTTGGGACTGGGCAAAGACAGGCACCTTTGTCTTGCTTGTGGAGTCTCTGTCTCTGTCTCTCTCTCTCTCTCTCTCTCTCTCACACACACACACACACACACACACACACACACACACGCAAGGATGATTCAGTTCTCAGACAGTGTGATAATATGCTGGTGGGGCACAGCGTCCCCTGCACAGTGGGGAGGACTGTGTTTCTGTAATCAGACAGACAGTCTGTGCTGGTCTTGAGGCTGGAAGGAAGGACTGTTCTTGGCTGGTGCATGATAGCATTTTCAGTTTTTTCTTTCAAACATTGTACAAGATCTCTCTTGTCCTTGAGCTGAACCTTACTGTGATGATTATCACATATCTGAGCTACATGGATGAAATCATTGCACAGGCAAATTATAATAGCTTGCCCCAACCTACAATATGTCTACATTCAGTGGTGGAAAAAAGATGTATTCAAGTACCGTACAGTAGATATTTAGGGTGCTACTGCTACTTTATACTTTTACTCAGTTAAATTTCAGAGGGAACAGTTTTTACTACTTACAACGAGATATGTTTTTGGATTATAATTTCACAATATGATACATTTTTATGATAGAAAACTAGTTACTTTTCATTTTACAATATACCCATACCCTTTCTGTCCACTGAAAACCATGTATGAATTTAAATTCTTCCTGATCATCTTGGTTGAGAGAATTTTCCTAACCATTGCATGACTCTACATGGTTCTCACATGACAGCAGCACTACAAATATATGATGAACTCATAGAACATTGCTATAGATTAAACTACCCAGCAGTATATAAAGTTGTTACAATTAGCTCAACCTTAAACAACTACAGCAGTAAAATGCAACATACACATGAATGCAACAGTAATGTTAATCAAAAAACATCAGAATAGTAAAACACTGAGGGGCCATTTTTCTGCATAATGAGTACTTCTGATACTTATGTCCCTTTTTTATGGTGGAGTATTTTCAGTGTGGTATTAGTACTTTTACTTTAGTATAGGATCTGAATACTTCCTCCACCACTTTTACTTGTAGTATATTTTATTATCGTGGTAGCTCTGTCTACATTTGATTAAGACTAAAAACAAGCAGTACAATAGTGTCAGGTTGTAGGCTACTAAAAGGCAGTGGTGTGTGAAAATGTAAGTTGTAAGATAACAGTAGTGCTTTTGCTTTATCTATTTATTTTTTGACAAATGTCCATAAAATCTCCCAGCAACGCTGATATCAGCTGTATTTCCTCAAACACACAAGAGAATCCTGCCGGTAAACTTTTTGTTTACGTGCCCTTGTATCCAGGGAGCCTGTTTACCTGCCCTGTTGCTCGGTGACATTTTTCTCTATGTCGTCAAAGAGTGGCAACACCCCTGATATCTCCAAATTCGTTTCATTAACTTTTTTTGTTAAGGTGGTAAACCAGAGAATGGCGGTGTTTTGATTATATAGCACCACTAGCAGCCCTTTCCGCCGACCAGAGAGCCACGGCATTGACACAGTTGCATATCTTTATCTGCTGTAGCTTCGCGTGGGCACACTCATTTCTTTCCCACGGGCGAGAACACGTTGGACACATAGAGGCGGGTACGGCGACTCCAAGGCCACCTTAAATCACATGCTGACATAACAAGAACGCTACTCTCCTCCCATATCCGAGCAGCAGTATGTTAAGAGGTGTCTCACCTTCCCGACTACGCTCTCATTACCAAGAAAGACGCCGGTGTGTCAACAACACGCCGAGGCATCTTCGGACATAACCGCTCCTTATTGGTCAGGAGTCTCGAGGTCTGGTGCGTAAACGTCGCGCGCTGGACACGCACGGGCCTGTCAGAGAATTTACTGAGAAAACCTTGTGGATATTCGAGTGGTTGGATTTATCTGCGATTTTTCTTTTCTTTTTTCACCGTCACTGTCTGGGTTTATTTTACATGCCAAAGCTGGGGGAACAGACACAACAGACTTCAGCGCGAAGCCTCACAGTTTTCGCCACAATAATTGGTAAGAACACTTCAATAAGTTGTAACGCATTTAAACGTTTTAGCATGTTAGCTGGGAGGTTTGACGCAAGACGACAAGTTGAGCATGTTGTGTCGGCGGGTAGGAAATTGATTGGAGACAAGTATTCAATCACGGATCGATAAAGGCGTCTTGTGTAGTGATTGGATGAGCCACCTTCCATGTAAATTCTGTGGACATGATTAACTTAATACGGCCGGTATCGACGACGGGAGAGTGCCACAGTTACTGCCAGCTGCTAAATCTAATTTACAGTAAGCCCTTGCTGATATTGTCTGTTTAGAGGAACAATAACAACCTTATTATATGTCACTGCCGTAGCGACAGCCATTGTAAGAGTATAATAAGCACGTTTTATGAGTGAGCTTGAAGGAAAAACCCGTGAATTCATTATTTTTTGCCAGGTAAATGCTTACTGTAAAGTCCGAATTGTTAGACAAGTAAACTATGAATCACTTCCAAGTTGTGAGTGTCACAGTTGCCTTCCTTGGCCACTTGGTGGCGATCGAGTATCTCCTGTTTTATGTTAAAGCCCCTTCTTGTGTTAGAAGAATGTATAGAGGTGAGCTCACTGTGTGAAGACGTCTGCATGGTGTTTTAAAAAAAAAAATCCCAATCTGTCCCTCTTCTCTCTGGTCAACTTTGTCTGTGAGTTATCTATTGGTCACACCAGACTGGATAACACGAACTTGTGCAACATCAGTAGTGCATGCAGGGAAATATCAAGTTCCTATATATTATTTGCTTTTACACATCTGTGACTGGAGTGTGTGCTGCGTCTATTGCGAGTTAACCGGCATCCTTCTTCCTGAAGAGAATACCCCATCCAATGTGTAATTTGCATACTATTCGAGATCACTTTAATGGTTTCTGCATGCTGCTGAGGTCAGGGGAAAGAGGATGACGTCAGCACTATTAATGTCATTACGGCCCATCTGATAACTTAAGATTTACCAATGCAGAATGTAACCACTGGTCTTTATACCAGCTCTTTAAAATAACTCCATCCACACTACTGCTGTTGATTCATTCGAACCACGGATCTAAACATAGCCTTTACGCAGACCGTGATGGGCCCTGAATATCTCTGGACACTCAGAGACATTCTTTGCAGTTGTTGTTTTAATGGCGAAGGCTATTTTGAGCCTGCTGCACAGTTCCCACACAAGATGACCCTCAAACACACACATGTTTTAGAGATGTGACCCGGCACAGATTAAAACTGTCTCTGTGTGGGGAGATACCGACGTAGAAAAGGCCTGGTTCTTACAATATACGTCATAATAATAAGTAATAAACAGTGACAGCAACAAGTAAACAATTCGTTATTTTAGTTATCCTCAAACCCGCCGGTGACCTGTAAAGGATCGCGAACCTCAGTTTAAGAACAGTTGCTGTAGGCTACTGTGATATGGGCACATATTTTTGTTCTATGCTGTAATTTATTATGAATGGCCTTAACTCGCCTGCCCTCCACGTGGGTGTGGATCTCTTCTCGCTATTGGCTGAGGTCGGCAGCGTCCTGAAGGAGCTCTCCTGTGATTGGCCGGGCTGCATCGGGTCTGTGGGCGTACTTTATCGATGGTGGAAGTGGGATACTTTGTGACACTGTTCATTGTCGATATTTCACTGGAGCTGCCGTGGGTATGAGTGCGCAGCGGAGTGCCTCTCACTACTAGCCGTATGAGGCTTTGCAGCTCACGGACCGTGTGTTTTCTTATCTAAAGCTTGCAAACATTCAGAGGAATTTATATTCTTTTTTTATTAGAATTGTCGGTTTTTGTTTTAAAGGTAACCGCCTGCGTAAATGAGCGTCTATGGCATTTTTTGCTGACATACTTGCGTTTCTGTTTGGCTTTTGCCCATCTATGTAGCATTAGGAAGACTTTTTGTTTGCACGTTGGAAAAGGGCAACAAAAACAGAAATCAAACAAAGAGCAAAGCGAGCCTTATGTAGTTGACTTTCCTGGGGGAATATTCTCATGATATCGACCGGAGAGAGGACGGACCGGGTGTTATTCTGACTCTCGGTGAGCGAGAGGAAGGAGGCAGCAAGAGCTAGCGAGAGAAAGAGAGAAAGCTCTCTGAATGCTGCCTTTGATTTGCAAGCAGAACACGGGACGGTAGCCGAAGCGACGGATCTGCCTCACCATCCTCCTCAGCCTCTTCATCCTCGGCTCTGCTCGCCTTGTCTCCCCCTTCTCTGACCACAGGTTATCGGATGGACCAGCATCCCAGCGCCCGGAGCTGCACCAGTCGCGGGGCTTCGTCCTGCGAGGCCGTCCCGACTGAGCCCTCCATGAATCTGTACATCCACTCCACCACCGGCACACGCTTCGAGCTCTCCCTGCCCCTGGAGGAGACCGTGGAGGGACTGAAGAGGAGGCTTTCGCAAAAACTCAAAGTACCAAAAGAGAGACTCGCTCTGCTGCACAAAGAAACGTAAGTAAACCGTTATTGAATTTTGTTTTACCAGAAGTGTTCTAGCCTTTCCATACACGGAGTCTTATCAACATTCGTTTTGTCCTTAAAGACTAGCCTGTCTCTTTACTACACACTGCCATCATGCGCCGTAATGTCTAGGCTACTCCGCAGTTTAAAAAACGACAATAAACTGAGTTCGTTCACCCTCCGGGCCTGCAGTGATAAGGTTTTAATCTATACTTTGGATTTATGCGTGGCTGAGCTCTCGGGAGCCTCAGAGACAACCTTGGTTGCGCTTGTCGTCAATACATTCAAGGAAACTACTGACCATCAGGATGCACGGTATTGGAATTACGCATAGGGGACGCACCGGTCACTGGAACAGTATTGACGGGGCGATCTGCAGACTTGCATTGATTCATGCCTCCTTCATTATAAATACCGAAGCCTGACTGAATTACTAATGTTGTTGGAATCAAACATTCATGAGTAAAGTCTCACGCACTTGGTTAGCCTGTAATTTATTTACTCCACTGCTGCTCTGTATACATAGCCTATTGTTAATCTTTCACATGTTTCTGTATAATGGGAGGTGGATGTGTCCTGTAGTTGGATGAGGCTGTAAGTGTGATTCCCTGTAGTTACATGGTGGTAGCCAGTTGCTCTGGAAGCAGAGTAAGTCCTAATGGTTTCAGTGGATTTCTTGGTGTGAGGTATCTGCTGGCCGGTTTCTCGAGCGCTCAGCAAATGTTGCTGTAATAGCACATTAGGGCAGCACCGCACGGGCGAGGGAATAGTTAAAACCTTTATTATTTAAACCTAACCACAGCCTACAGTATGAGGCGGTTCCCAAATCAATCAGATCCAGGTTCAATGACTTAACAATAGCGCAGGTGGTATGCAAAATGAGAAGGGAGGCTTTAGTACATGCAAACAGTCAGCATTGTTTTTCGTTCCTGATCCCCTCCCACCCATTGTAATCACCCAATAAATCACATCATCCTTTAAAACCTGAAACCCCCTTTTTAATCCCCTCCTGCTCCTCAAACTGTAGACCTCGAGCAAGTCAGTGCTGAGGGCCTTTGTTCAGCTGCATGGGGTGAGATTTGGGTCATGCCTATACAGCAGGCTGTTCTGCACTAAGCTAAAGAAGGCAGAGAGTCAGACACTTAGATGTGAGTGGTCTTAGTGCACCGTGACTTGCAAGAAAAGACAACTCCCTCATTGTGGAACAGTCATGCTCTGCACCAAACATTAAATAGTGAAGTCCTGGAAATGCATTATATATGACATGGTTAAACTTTTTTCGGACAGTCGCCATCATTTTCTACAGTTCAGTGACGGGCAATAGACCTGCAGTGTCAATAATAGCTACTCATTGTACTGTTTATCTTCTCTTTAAACTAATAAAAAGATTGTGGTTTTGGTTTCAGTGTGGAGTTTCTGCTCCTCATTTGTACAACTCCAAATGCCAAAAGAAAATACTTACCTCCACTTAAGCAAGTGGCAGTGGTGCCAGATATCCACTGCGAGCACTTGTCAAGCTCCACTATACTCGAAATTGAAATATGACAGCCCAATCAATACTTCTCTTTCATGGAGCTTTTCACCCACGGCTCTTTTCCAAACTAGTTTTGAAGTCTGTCTGCCCCCCCGGCTGAAGGGTGTTTGTGTGTCTGAAGAGAGAAGATATTGTCAGCACAGTCTAATTATCTTGTTCTCTCTAACCCTGCAGGCGACTAAGTTCAGGCAAACTCCAGGATCTAGGCATCTCTGATGGGAGCAAGTTAACACTTGTACCAACAGTTGAAGCAGGATTAATGGTAAGGCTTACCTGACTGTGATTTTATTTTTGTTTGGAGTCTAAATATATATAAATACTGTATAGGAGCATTTCTAATGAACATTTTTGCAAGCACATTACTTTACATTCTTAATATCTGCTCTGTTTAGTCCATTTAAACTGATTTTTTTATATCCATTTTTCTTTCTTTGCAGTCTCAAGCATCAAGACCAGAACAGTCGGTAATGCAAGCCTTGGAGAGTTTAACAGAAACTCAGGTAAGAGACTGTTTGTCTGTGTTGTGTAAAAATTTAAAATATGAATATCCTACGATGGTGGGCCTTTTTGGTGTGTGTGTGTGTTCATAGGGCATATGGGAGATTGTATATTCGGTTAAGAACAGAGCAACACCCAGATATGACGGATACAGAGAGAAAGAGATGAGATGAGATGAGCAGGCTGCACAAGCCTCTTTGCTTGTCTAATCTCAACCTCTTAAACAAGCCAAGCCAAGCTAGACATCCAGTGTGAGCTGTTAGGATATAATAAGCAGCAACACCCTCCAGTATCCTAGTAACATCTGTGATAGCGTGTGTGTGTGTGTGCTTGCACCTCAATGCAGGAAACCAGGGCGAACACAACACAAGAAAGGCTTATTTGTGAACTGCTGAGAGGACCACATAACACTCACTTCCACCTTTCTGTTTATACCTTTATCTGTAATCTCGTTCCACTCCTTTCTGTATTTTATGCTCTAACACACACACACACACTCTCTCACGCACACACACACAGGCAAGTTTCCAGGAAGTGTGGTGTGGCTGCATGGAGCTTGAGTGTAGTCTCACTCACTCATAAATAGAGTGCTGGATCATCAGATGGCGGCCTTCTCACCCAGTATTAGCATAGGGTTCCTGGAAGCCTAGTATGCATACACAGCCAGAGTGGTGCCTACACCTGTACTTACAGTGAAATGGCTCTGTAGGCCTGCTGAAATACCGTATGCATTTGAGTCATTGTGGCATGACTCACCAAAAATGATCAATAGTGAGAGTAAAGCGAAAAAAGGCAAAGAGTTCTCGGCGCTGGCCGCAGAGCGTGAGCGAGAAGAGAGGCGATAAGCCTGAATGCACACAGACAACAGTGTGACGTATGAAACACTATGCAGCTGACTGACTGACTCACATCAACTTCCTTTTGTAGTGTTGGGTAACACTGAGATGTACGTAAGTGCATCAGTGATGCGCTGCTGACTGATGTCAAAACAGTACAAGATGGTGAAATTGGATGCTGATGTAAGGAGTTGAGTGTGTCAATCATGCAGTGGTTATGTGATGAATTTGTCCAAAGAACACTACTGTACATTTAGTCACCTTTTTTTTATCAGAGGATGTAGGCTGTTTGGAGATAGCGGAGTGTGGTTCAGTATGGCTTCATTCCCTGCTGATAATTTTATGGTGGAAATCCTGGCCCTGGTGTGTGTGTGAACTCAGCATGCGTCTCGTAGCACTGACAGCAGATGACTGTGTGTGTGTAGGTGTGTGTAAGTGAACGTGCGTGTGTCTGTTACTCTGTGTGTGTGTGTGTGTGTGTGTGTGTGTGTGTGTGTGTGTATGTCAGAGTGGTAGTGGGCTGGAAGCAAGCCTTGCCCATCATGTGGTACGCCTTTGCTGGGCAGCCATGAGTGACTGTCATTTTCACCAGAGGCAGATGATAATTCGACCGCAGAGCCAGAAGAGCAGATATTTCTCACTCTTCTTCCTGTGTCCTTATTACTCTTAGATTCATTGTGAGTCAGATGGGTTAGGTTTTCTCAAGAACTGCTTACAGTACATTACTGTTGCATTCATATTTATTGTGACAGAACTGTAATCCTCCAGTGTGGATAGAAAGAATAAAGGGCACAGTAGAATGATAGCAGGGTAAAAGGTTAAAAAAAGGCATAAAGCTGCTTTAGTGTGTTTTTATCCAGAGAAATTGATTCCTCTTTATAATTCATGAAGCGGAATGGAATGATATAGATTGCGGAGAGATTAAGGATCTCAGTAAGATTAGAAAATAGGAACACAAAAGCTTTCCCTCATTTCCTCTCTTCCCCCCCAACTCTTGGGCTATCAAAAATCAATCAATGCACTTAGCTCTTAAAAGTGTCTGACATGATAACTGATATGCCCGTACACCCAAAAATAGCCTCGGGGAGATGTGGGGTGGATGTTAGCCATTGTAGCCGACTAGCCGTGGAAGAGGAGGGTATGAACCCCTGTACCTCTTATAACCCCTCTGTCCTCTCCACCCACTTGTATTTCGGTTATGTGAGGTCTCAATTCCAGATAGGGTGTTTTTCCAGGAAGTGTGTGTATTCATGGAAGACAGGGCTGAACAGATCACCTCATGTCTTCTCCTTTATCAAGATTCCGGGGGAGTTCACAGATAGCGGCTAGCTGGCCAACCAACCAAGCAGAACATGACAGCTTCTAGGGCAGTTTCAGACTTTTGTGGAACAAGTTAGATAGAAAATGTTTTATGGAAATGGAGCCCCTGCAATTATCGAAATGGGTTTTCTTTTTCCTTCGCTCCATCTCCCCCCTTTTCCTCCTTCTCCCTCTCGTGTTTCTGCTTAACAGCTCTCCCAGGGCCCTATAATTTAAATGTGCTGTGGTTTGCAAGTCCAGCTAGCTGCCTCAGTTTGACCGTGATGGCTGGCTTCTTTAGCAAGGACAATCCTGGCTGCCTTAATTCCTCCTCTGGCATCTTGCTAGACTTTTTGCATGACATCTAAGCTGTATTAAGCCACTGCCTCCTGACAGCCCATCAAAATACAGTTCCCTGCTCTACTCTCTTCTCATTCTGTCTGCTAAATAGAGGTTGTGTGTACAGCTTACATATGCAGTCATGCGCACATGCACACACACACAACACCAGAGTTGAAAGGATATATTTAAGAGGATTTCTGATCCTGCTCAGAGAATGAGAAAATGTCTGATCCATCCTAGTAGTAAAATGAATGTATACTTACAAGACAAGCAGTGAAAGGGAAATGAAAGCAATATTCACTGTTTCTGGGCATATGAGAGCAGTGACATCAGCTCTCCCATCTATTGATCTTGGTATTTGACAAAAAGAAAAGGATTATATGTCCCCTCTCAGCACACGGGGACTATTTGCTCATTGATGCACATTGATGTTAGAATAAAAGCCAACCAGGCAGGCAGGCAGGCATCACCCTTACCATCCCCCCATTGCCCTTCCCCCATGCAACCACCTCTTTGTTCCTGTCTTAAAGCATGAGCACCAAACCTGCCCAGCTGACAAACCCCTCAAACACACAACAATGATTGAGGGTCACTCTTTAAGTTTGGCTGTCCCCCATGACCCCCTTTCATCCTCCATATATCCATAGGCGCCAGCTATACCCAATTGAGTGCAGCTACAGTGGTGCATACTGGTTTCAAAATCAATGCACGGCCCAGCTGGAGCAAGGCTCAGCAGGCTGCAGATTGACAAATTTTGCCTTGAACACTAACACAGATTACTTTGGGAGGAGGCTGTGTGTTGCCATTCCATGTGTCCCAGCGGAATACGCTGTTACGTATCTGCTCTACTTTTCTTGCTCCCGTCGACAAGCACGTCCTGTCCTCACCCACCCCCTCCTCTTCCTCTAGGAACGGTATGGCACAGTTTTGTCATTGTGTCTAGAAGCGGACAGATGCAAACTAGCAGGATCTAACAATCTGTGGGGAGTCACCTCTGGGTCACCCTCACCTCATTTCCTCTGCTCTGCCTCCCTCAGGGGGTGCCACGGTGGGCCAGACAGGTGGAGGAGAAAAGAAAGGGAGAGCTTTGTGTGAGTCATTGTGCAACACGTCAAGTCAATGTGTGTGTGCAAGTCTTGTAGGTTTGAGGTAATGGGGAGGGTGATAACATATGCTCGGGTAACTCACACATGAAGAAATACAGGGGAGAGTCTAATGGAAGAAAGGAAATAAAGACAAAAGAGGACCGAAGGCATTTGGCTTTGGCAATTGTGGGAAATTGCGTGTGTATTTAGACAATCAACTGTGTACCTGTGCATGCCTGTGTGTCCGTACATCACTGTGTGTAAAACAGCTCAATGCAGATGGTCAATATGTTTCTTTTTCCAGTCCTGCACCATGTAGACCACCTTATCTAGATGCTAGTTAATCAGCACGATTGACACTACTGGAAATCATTGGAAAGTAATTGTATTGAGGATTTGGGAGTGCAAGGAATTGAAAAATGACTGAGTCAGTTTGTTGGTCAATATGAGAAGATCCTCCCCTTTTTATAGCATGCTGCTCCCTCTGTCCTTCCCATAGCCATGAAAATGAAGGCTTTTTATATGCATGCAGTATAAGAGAGGGAGCCTTTGCTCTTTAGAATGGTAATTTGCTTTTTTGTTACCTAAATGAAAGCTACAGAAATTAATTTGTTGCTGGATGTGTAAATCAAATTGTGTATGGAATGAAAGACAATGCTGATCTAAAGGCCTATTCAGTGCCTGCTCGTGTAAATCCGGGCCTTGAAAATTGCATTAATAAGCTGATCACGCAGTATTTTTGCACCTGTGTGATCCCCTTTGTGATGCTTAAATGCACAGCAGGGGGATGGGCTGCTGGGATGGGTGGAGGGAATCAAGGTGTGTTGTGGGGCAATCAGGGGAGAGATGGATTTTGCAGGGGATTTCATTGTCCTATTGTGTCTATGCATCTGCTCGCATATGTGTGTATGTGTGTGTGCATGTGCCAACATCCATTTTTAATGCCTGCGTCTTTGTGTGTTCCCTCGTTCAGCGGCCAGGGGAGTCTTATTTCTCCATATTTGAGTCGTGACCGTCATTGTTTGCCATTCCCTGGTGACACTGAGCTTTTGTGATTCAAGTAGCAGGCATCGTGACTAGTGGGGCTACTGTGTGGGAGGCTGGAGGCCAGGAATGTCACGTCTGATAGCCACCACCAAGTCTAATGAAGTCAATTAGGCATATGCTACAGGTGAAACCGCGAGGAAGGGGTCAAAAGATCCAGGTCGATCCGCTAAGTCATACTAAAGCATACTGAAAAAAGGGGGAAGTTTTGTAAGGGAAAGATACCATTCTTTACGCCTTTTTACTACCACTCTGCTCCCTCCGTCATTCCTCCCTCCTCTCCTGCTTGTCGATTTGCCTGTACCCACTTACTTTATCTCAAACAGACGAGATGCTATTTTCCAGCCTTCTTTTGTTGCCCGCGATGATGTTTTTACAAGTATCCACAAATTTGTCTTGCTGGGTACAGAAACTGCTCATCGTTAAGTAAGGCTCTTCTCCACCAACACAGTATCCTGATTAAATTGTATCAATCAGCAGGTATAAAAGGCATTCAGCGGAGCGTGAAGAGTGTGAGCAGCAACTGGAGCTAATGCATGAGGACTGTGGATTGAGAGGCTTGCATGTGCATGTGAATCGGCTCAATGTAGCTGACCAGTTGTTGGCACAGTTGGGGTGTGAGGAGTGGCTTTAGCTGGAACCTGATCATGCTGAACTTTGCCATTCTGATCTCTCCTTTCACTCAGCCGATCAAATTCAGTGATGGCCAGCTGGTCAGCTACTTTCAGCCCCCTGTTTTTCTTATCAGGCAGTATTACAGACGGCTATCTTTCTAATGGGGCCTTTGAAGAGCCTCCCGGCTGCTTTTAGGATTTGGGGCATGATGCAAGTCATTGATTTTTTTTTTTTTGCCTTCTCTCTTTTGAGGGCCTGTTATTGCATCTTTAGCCGGTGTGTGCCTGCACAGAGACTATCAATAGTGTCCTGGTGCGATCAAAACATCTAGGTCGATAGGCGGGTTAATAAGCAGGTTTTTGAACTGTACCTTTTGCCTAGCAGTTCGACAGGTGAGCTGCTGCATTGAAACCAGAATGTCTGGAGGAGACGGCTTCCTCCTCTCAAGGCTTCCCTCTCTCCACCCTCCTGTCCCACCCTCCAATCCTCTATCCTCTTTTCTCTGGCACAAAGCTGCTCAGTTGTTCATGAACGTCAGCTCAGTGCTGCCAGCTCTCTCTATCTTCCCCTCCCTCTCCCTCTCGCCCTCCCTCAGTCTCTCAGCCTCTCTCTTCCTCCCTCACTCCTTATCTCCCTCCCTTAGTTCGCTTAGTGTGCAAAGGAAGAACGACTGCAAATGAGTTCCTTGAACCACAGGGACCCCAATAAATAAAACTGTCAGCCAGAGATGTCGAAAGGAAAAAAAAGAGGGAAGGAGCCAGAGGCACACTCTCACTGAATATTTCATCACCCACCACCACCACCACCACTCTGACACCCTACCCCCATCGCCCGCATCCCCATCCCCCCTCACCATCCTTACTCCCTCCCTCTCTAATGCCACCTCCCCCCCCCCACCCTTTTTCCTCCATCTTTTCTCCACCCCTCCTCCCCTGGCTGCCCCTTATCATATTCTCCCCCATCACTGCTTAGCAACCAAAGCCCTCCTGCTAAACAAAATACCACCGTCTGGACCCCGACAAATAAAACAAAATGGTTGATGGCGCCGGCTCTGGGGTCAGTTGTTAAAGAGGAGCGGTGATGGCATATTAAGTGGAACAGCTCTTTATCAACACCTGTATGTCACTGAATAGACTCTGTCATGACATTGCCTGTATAATTTCTGTTGAGTATAATCACCTGTGTGTGCTGTTTCAGCAAACACACACCTTGTTCTTCAGGCATGAGCTCTTCTGCTCTTTGCATACCACTGCTGCTGCATCAGAAAGAGAACAATGAGTGGCTGGTTTCTCTCTGTCTGCCTTAGTACAACAAAAGTGAGGCCCTCCCCTTGTCTTGCGTCTCTCATAACAAACCAACAACTAGAAAGCAATAGAAAGCTCTCTTCTCTCGCAGGCTAATTTGAAGCCTGCCATGTGGTGTTGGGAACTCAGTAGGAGTGCATGAATTTCATCTTGGTGGTTTTGAATAATCCACACTAGTCATTATAAGGGTAATCAAGCCTCCTCTCTGTTTCTCCTGCTGTCACTCACTGTCTGCCTTTTTCTCTCACTTTCTCTCACATGTGCTTGACAAAGCAAAGGCCCTGTTCAGACTTGACATTAAATGGCATCTTGGATGATTTCTTCTCAGGGAATGGATATAAGCACAGCTACTTACTGCTCTGAAAACGGACATATGTCAGCATATGCACTACATTGTGAATGCACATGTTCCTGACCATACATACAGACTGACTCTCCTAGGTTGATTTGTCTTCTCCAAACAACTCTGACATGGTCCCCTCTCCTCTGAGCTTTTTTTTGTGTAACAGCAGATGCAGTTTCTTCACAGATAAAATCAAATGTGAGCAGGGAAGTGAAATCCGATCACAAACAGTAACTCTGTAGAGATTCTGATGCCAGGTGTGAACTGTAACCTGTCTCAACTGGATTTTTCTCTGGATATATGTGACTATAGGATTGTAGGTCTGAATAGTACCATAGACAAACAGATACTCACTTCTCCCAGGGGTGTGCCCCCCCCCCATCTTCCTCCCTCCCTTTAACTAAACACTGGGTTGATAGTCTCCCTTAGGGCCTCTGACTTTGTGTGTGTGTGTGTGTGTGTTGTGGGTTTGCAAACTGCCGACTCATTCTCTTGACAGCTGTCAGTCACAGACACAGTCAGCGTCTCCTCCCCCTCCTTTTTCTCTTTTCACTCTCTCCCCCCACCCACTTTTGGGACTCTGCCTCCCCCCGAGGTGCCAACACACACACATCTTGATATATTGTCTACCAGGTGACCTTTGTACACAGAGTTTCCTACAGCCCTCTCAGGTAGCACCCTGCCCTGTTCTCCTCCTCACTTCACACCCCACCCGCTGAGTTCATTGTCTTACCACGAAGGGGTAATCAACGTGGGTGTGGACTTGACTATCAACAAGCATTAGTGACTGAGTTTACAATCAGAAATAGCTGAGTTTCTGTTTACCCTGCTGCATCCTTTGTGCTGATTTGTGCTGCTTTAGCTGTTGACTATTCACATGTTGAAATGCAGCCATCAGATCATCCCAGCCCCCTCGTCCTTTCACCTGCCTCTCCTCTCCCTCCATTCCTCTTTTCCACACCATGTCAATACCAATGTGCAAAGGTCACCCTGGCAACAGAGAGGCAGCGGTCGATAGAGAAATAAATAAGCAGAAGAAAAGGGAGAGAAGTGATGGAGGGCAGAGCCGGGTGATTCACAGGGTTAACTACGGGCCAACATCTCACAAGCACACTCCAAAGGCTGCAGGGTCTGGGGGGAGTGAGGCCTCTGCTCTCTTTTTCTGTCTTTGTATGTATGTCTCTATTACTTGTTTTCTCTGCTTTGTCATTATTTTTTCTCTCTGTCTCCCGTCTTCTTTGTGCTCTCTCCTCCCCTTGTGTGGCTTATCGGTGATGCTTCTGTCTTCCTGTTTCCCCCTCCCTCTGCCCCTCTCTGGGGACTGAAAGCACACTGGCTGTAGGGGTTGTTGAAACCTTTTTGGACAGAGGCGTCACTTTGTATTTGACAGTGCTGCTTGTTTCTGTTTGCTTCTATTTGGGGAGAACCTGAGATGTCATTACTGCTGAGTCTTCAAGACCCAAAGAATCTTTCTGACCCCCGAACGACTCTCACTAGAAAATACACACATTCACACGCAACGACACACATGCACAGACATCAGCGGTGAGCAATACACAGCAACAGAGCCGCAGGCATGCAGGAAAGGGACAAGAGAACTTTGTTTAGTGTGAATCCTCCAGCCAAGTCGTAACAACTCCACTATCCAGTATTTGTGTGTGTCCATCCGGGCCACGGGTGGGTCAGCAAAGGCCTCCACACTTGGCTCCTGTTAGCCGTTGCCAGAGCTCATAAAATGGGCAGCCTTTCCAGATCCGCCACGAACCCACGGACAATCAGCCATTCTGTGTTTGAGAGGCAGGCGGGGTGTATTTCCTGGATGTGGGACGGATTTTTCAGGCCCCAGGCCAGACAGAAGGGTGGCCTCTGTCTCTGAGCTGAATGACACTGCTGACTAAGAACGGACTGAAGGGCAGTAGGAGGCATGCAAGAGTGGGCTCTATTTGTATGTGTTTTCCGATAGGTCTCCTCATCCACTGCTCCCCAGCAGATGTAAATAGGCCAGTGTTACAGAATGGTGATTGATTGCATGATGGGCTAATGTGGTGTGTCTGTGTGTCTATGAGAGGGGGAGCTCAAAGCACTGTTGTGTGCATTTTAACTGCCATCCATGGGGCAGACTGTTCATTTACAAAGGAGGAAGTCATTATGCAGGGGGGAGTTTTTCTCTTTGTGAAACACTTTGGCTTTCAGTACATAATCTTGATGCAGACTTAGGTTGCCAATTCAGCTGTACCAATAAATCATGTATCATGTGTATATGTCTGTTTTGGAAACTTTTCTGTATCTAAATATATGTAAGTTTATAAATGTAATTACTCAAATGAGTCTTTTGTCCACCTGCAGGTCAGTGACTTCCTGTCCGGCCGCTCACCTCTCACCCTGGCACTGCGTGTCGGGGATCACATGATGTTCGTCCAGCTCCAGTTGGCGGCACAGCAGTCTGGTGGCCCCCAGCTCCAGCACAGACACCTCATCACCCGGGGCAACGCGGAGACCGCAATGGGACAGCCCACGGGGCAGCCCCGTGTTCCCCACCCTCACCCACACTCCCACCACCACCCCCATCATCCACACAGTCACCCCAGCCCCCACTTGTCCCAGCCTCACCTGGTTCCTTCCTCCCCCCTCTTCCCCGGGCTCCCCTTCCTTCCCCCTGCCCTCCACACACCACCAGCCACTCCCTCCCATGTACCACCAGTCGCCCTCCTCTGCTCACTGTAGCCCCCCAACTCCTCCTCCTCCACCCCACTCCCCTCGCCCATCACACATCCCTGGAAGTCTCTTTCGCTCTCCAGCCCATCACCATCATCACCACCACCACTACCACCAGCCTCCCTCAGGCCAACCCAGCCATGACATCGGCCAGGCCAGCCCTGTAGCCCCAGTCCTCTGCCCTGAGGTAAGCCTCAAAATATTGTTAGTAATCCATATTGTTTATATTTTTGTACCACTGTTACACCTTTGCCATCAGTTCTAGCTTAGTGAGGAGATAAACGTGTATGTAAAATATGCTACGAATAATGGTAGATAGTGTTAAAATAGCTTAACTTTAACATAACTGACGTCATCACAGGCACATAGCGCTGTCATGAATGAACTATGTCGAGGATGGGTGACGACCGTTTGACCCAAGTGCCATGCACAACTAAATCAACCTCAATTAAATTGATTAGATTAGTGTAATATCCCAGCAGCATGAGGGCGAACCCGTGGTTAACTCAGGTCTGGAGAAGGTGTGTGTGTGTGTGTGTGTGTGTGTGTGTGTGTGTGTGTGTGTGTGTGTGTGCTGCCAAACCACAGTGCACTTAGTCATCGCCAGAGTGCACTCTGCTTCCCAAATACATACAAACAGGCCAGCACACACACATAAACCAGGCTGGGTATGGCATCCATATGACCTCATCCTGCCCACTGAGATTTATGAGGAATATGGGGGAAGATAAAGAGCTTGGGAGAAAAAGATTCAAAGAGAGGCCGATTTAATGAATCGAAGGTGGTTTTTCATGTGAAGACTGATCATTAACCTGAGTGTTGTCAGCCATTTATCATTAACCTTTACAACCATTTATTTAGGTTTGGATAACTCTAAGAACAGCTGCACACACATGCACAGACATGCTTACTTGTCTCCACCAACCAAGTTCGCTGTTTATACTTTCTCTACCTCCCCGAGCTCCAGCCTATGGAAAGGGAATAAGAACCAGATGTCAGTGGACTATGTGGGAGAGATGGTTCACAACAAGAAAAACAAAAAGACAGGCCAGTTTAGTACTGAGAAAACGGAAATGGCTATTCCTCATCAGGCTTTCATATGGGTAACACACAAACAACAAACACAGAGACCTTTGCCTGAGTTTCGATTTCACTTTGTGATCCAAGTTAAGGTGAAGTCACAGGGTTTCCAAGTTTGGTCTTTCTCAGGTTTGAGGCAACAAGATATCCTGGCTGTTTTGGGGTTATAGTATGTCAAAGCTCAGGTTTCTAGCTTTCTGGGGTTTCTTATAACCACCAGCCTTCACTGCATAGGTTACTTACATAGTGCGAAGAGTATTTACAACACCCTGAAGTAAAGGTCACTTACAGAAGCTTACATTATATACTGTATATATAAGGGCTATAGGTCAGAACATGACTTCAACATTTCACAACTCACAAGCCTGAATGTCATCCAGTGTATATGTTAACACAGTCTGGGAAGTGATTTTCCTCACACAGGTTGTGTACAGATGTTTTCTTTTCAGACTGCTTTTCCGTTTCCTCACTTTATGCTATGTAATATTTTTCTTCCAGGCTAACTGCAGCCCCAACAGCCCCAACAGCCCCAGCAGCCCCAACAGCACCAACAGCACCAACAGCCCCAACAGCCCCAACAGTGGCACCAGTCCCTCAACACGCTCCCGTAAACCTGGCGCCATCATTGAGAGCTTTGTTAACCATGCTCCCGGAGTCTTCTCAGGGACTTTTTCAGGTGAGAGGACAGTGAGCTGCCTTTAAGATTTATTGTTGCTCTAAGCAATAACTATGCACACCGTGAGATCCAACTGAAAGCCTCTTTTATGAGAACTTGCATGCTTCACAAAATACCCAGAAAATTAAACACAGGCTCCTCTGTCTGGTCTCAGGGTCTATTGGGGGCAGGTGTTTGTATGAATGACCTTAAATCTTTGACTTATCTGCTTTTTATTGAAAACTGTCTTTTAATACTTTCGCCATCTCTCTTGTTCCCTCTCTCAGGCACTTTGCACCCTAACTGCCAGGACAGCAATGGGCGTCCCAGACGAGATATTGGTACCATCCTGCAGATTCTCAATGACCTCCTGAGCGCTACACGCCACTACCAGGGCATGCCCCCTTCCCTCACCCAGCTCCGCTACCAGACACAGTGTGGTTCACCCACCTCCCCATCCCCCTCGCCACCTCCTTCACCCCCAGTCGCTGGCATGACGGGCCTCTCTGCCAAAGCTACCTCTGTGCCTGCCGGCAACCCTAGCACCCCTCCACCGACTCTTCATCCTCTGGTACAGTGCCAGAGCCAGATCCGCATGTGCAAACCCCCTGGTGAGTGACTCAGGACTCCCTCTGCTCATCCAAGCATGTCATAAACACAAACAGAAACACACACACACACACACACACACACACACGCACACGCACACACACGCACACACACACACACACATACACGTGTGTGTGTGTGGGTGTGAAATGACTGCAGTCTTGAACCTGTCATTTTACTGGGCTCTGCTCTTACATTGCAGCCTACTAAAGAATTCATTGTCATCTTTGTCTTTTCAGTTTCTATTCTCATTACACTTCATGGTTAGCTATCAGTTCTGTTGAGATGATTTTGCATCACTGTCTCGTTCAAGCACATATTTTCATCTTTTAAAATACTGACAAAGCAAGAACGGAAAAGTCAGATTAAAGAACAAAAATGTCGTGCATATACCTCTCCTGGGTTTTGAGGCAGAGAAGAAGAAGAAGAGATGGGAGGAGGGGTCTCCTTAGTAATGCAGTACAAGCTTCTCCAGACCTGTTCAGTCAGGCTTCACTTGTCAGGCAGCAGAGTTGGCTTTGTTTTTGTGCGTCAAGGAGATAGGTTTACCCCTTCAAGCCTGGGCTGGGCTATGTTTAGATTAGATTAGGCTTTGGGTGGTTTAACCTCCCTCTTAAAGAAGGGCTGCAGCTGGGGCATGTATGGGCTGGGGGCTGGACAAACCTCATCATACCCCTGCCCAAGGGCTGGGCCGGGGCAGGTGTTGGAGTTCAGATGATACCATTTAGGGACTGGGGTTGAGTGTTTTAAAACCTCCTTTCCGTGCAGAGACACAGGATGTTGAGTGTCAGACAGATGTCCAGAACAGATAACATTCAGTCAATGTTGTAAGGTTAGACTGGCTGTGCCGAGAGGAACAGCATTGTCCTCTGCTGCCTCCTTATCTCCCGTGGAGGAAATCGAGCTAGTCTTTGGTGAGCTGCTGGTAAATGTTGTTGAATTGTAGGTAGGGAGGGTCCTGGAGTAGAGTGATTAATGTTTAATGTTTTCTTTTGTTTGCAAAAGCAAGAGCATACATTCCTATTGTCATACACTGGCTTTGTCCCCTGTTTCATGACCTTCTGTTGCAAACAGAATGGAGCGTTTCAGTTGTGCTGCATACAGATTGCGTCGGGAATGTCCAGTATTCCTTTGCATCACCCTGGGTGCCCTTACAAGTGTTCAGCGAACAGTTGGAATAACACAAGCTTATTTTCCTAACTCAGGGAAGACCTTTCCTTCACTGCCCCCACCCACATATCCCCCCGGTCCTTCCCCTCTTCTCCCACTATTGTCATCTCTCTTCGCCAGCACTCAACAGCCCACGCTGCTGTTTCCCCCATTTGCTGTCCAAAAACAGCCTTGTCTGTAATATCCATCTTCCTCCCTCTCTTTCCACGTCTGTGTTGTGCATCAATACATTGTCTGTGTTCATTTGGCCTTTAAATAGAAAGATTTATTCCGAAAAGCAGCTCTGAAAAAAAATTGCTTTGTAAAAGTAGAGGGCAGTGAGAGGAGGAGAAGGATGCGGAAGAGAGGGGTTGTTAAAACCACAACACTAAGCCTCCATTCATCATATGGGTGTTTATATCCTGTCCATCAGTCTACCAACTGCCCACTGATTTACCATGGGCGAAGTAAAAAAAAAAAGAATTGGTGAAAGATAGCTTGTCTAATGTCCTTTTCCGACTTTCCTGTCTCCGTCCAACTTCCTGCTCACAATGTACACTTCCAGAAAGTGATGTGAATGGGTAACCTGTACAACCAAGCACAGTTTAGCTCACTGAGACAATGATTGTGTGTTTGTGTGGACAGAGGCTGCGTGCCTACTTGTATCCCGTTCCACATGGTGTCCTAAGGAAGCCGATGACTAAGCGCTCTCAGGCAGTCTTATCAGCCGACACCTGACGAAAGACTTACTGGACTTAACACCGCGGCTTAACACTGCTTCACAGAAACCTGCCTTCATTCAGTTACCGGAATAACCTGCACTTCCCATCTGCCAAAATGTGTGTGCGCAGTCAAACTCTAGGTTGAAACAGCCTCTCGAAAATGTCACATAGCTTGGTTGTCTCCTGAGAGCCTTTACCCTTTCCACTGCAAGTTCATGTGCGAGGGGGAGAAGACAAGCGTAAATAAAGAGCTTCAACATACACACATGTGCACACACTTGACCACAAATGCCTGGTTAAAGGCTTGGACGACTAGCACGGCTTTGCAGTGTGGTATTGCTTAGTGTGGGGATTTGTCAGCCCAGGACTTGTGTTGGATTTGAACAGGACGGCTTTAGGATAGCCTGGCAGGCTGATTGTTAGCTAAATTCCTTTACTGAGTATAGTGGACCTCCCCGGCACCCCCCTCTAGCCCTTCAGCCCCCTGCCCGGCCAAACCTATTGTGCAGGGGCCAGAGACAGGGGCTGTATACAGGGCACCAGGCTGAGCCATTGTGGGGCAAAGGAGGGGAGGGCTATGGGATTATAGGCCTGCCTTTTAGTCCTACTCCCACTGCAGCTGCTTTAGTTCAACACAGACCCACGGAGAGGGGCAAAACAGGGGCAAAGTTAGCTCTGAAAGCTGCACCAGCACCCCCTTCCTCTCTTATGTGCCTTCCGCATCCCATCACCCCCTCCTGTCCCCTTTCGATTTGTCAGGTCATGTTAGCTTCGTCCTTGCTAGGACGTTGGGCAAGCCAAAGGAGGAGGGAGGGAGACACAGAGAAAGATCCTTTACCCTAAACCTCATTGAGTCCTGTATTTAAGCCCTGACCTGCTTGGCTGAGGCGCCACACATTATCCACTGGTAGGCTTTACTCCTCTGTCGTCACACACAGAGGTTTGGTGGGACACACGTGTACCGGTAACTCAACGAAGGCCCCAGCGACGCAGCACAGCACAGAGCTATCTAGCAAAGCCAGCCAAGCACATCAGGTGCCCTTTCATTGTCGACAAGGAGAGCGAGAGGGAGAGAGAGAGAATGCAAATTAAGTCTAAAAGTCATTGAAGAGCTTGTGTCCCTGCAGGGCTGTCAGTGCCCTTTCACTGGCTGTCAAAATGCTCATATTAGCTCGGATTTGATTGGTTGCTTCAGTTTGTGACTGATTAGTCGGTCTAAACATTTTTTTTCAAGTGATGAACTTGATAGCTCATTTTCTTTCCAGAAAGGTCCCGGACTGCTTCCTCATGGAGATGTTTACCTGTTGACAATTGAGCTACTGGTCCTTAAATGCTTTTGATTGGTCAGAGGGATATGGAGTGATTGTTAAATAAGTACATTTTTCTAATAATCACAACATGCTTCATGTTTAGTGGTAAATTCATAATATTTCCCAATGTTAGGGAGGGGTACAACCTGTAGCTGTTGCCACATACCAATGTCAAGATAATACCGCAATAAGTATCATGATATTCAATTTGCCCATATTATTAACTGATGAAGAAAGAGTAAGACTAGAGGAAACCAAGGCTGACTTTGCTGCAATGTGATTTTTTTTCCTCTTCTTACTCTCTTTCTCTTTCTCTCTGTCCGACCCTCCCTCTTTCCCCTGGTTCCTTGGATGCTGAGCAAACACAATGTTCTCTCTGCAAGATCACAAGACTTATCAAGGCAAACAAACAAACAACAGCACTAAGACAACTGCAAATGAAGGCCAATCTTTATTCAATCAATAAAAGGAGAAGCTCCTTTAATCTCCCCGTGCATCCTGCACACTGCAGCCCTCCTCCCTTTCTCTCTACCTCCATCCTCTGCCTCTCCTCGTCCACCCACCCACTCCTCCCACCCTCCCTCCCGTGTGCTCCCTATCTCTTTGCTGTGTTGCTGGGCTGGCCTCAAAGGCAAGGAAAACTGACTGACGCATCGATTATTCATAGATCACCCCTTCTTTCTCTCTCTCCTTTCTCCGGCTTACTCTGCAGTGCTCGGTGTGTTTACAGGGCCTGTGTCAAAGTCTTCAGAGAGGAGAGTTTGGGGATGGAAAAATGTGCTGCACAGGATTGAGCTTTGGTGTGATTGGCAGGCAGGGGAGTGGTAAAAGAAGAGATAGGGAAAATAAGACTGGCGTGAACTTCCTCACTGTGCCCTTGACCTGTCATCTCTTTGATATCTTCCTCTGCGTGTTTCTAAGAAAAGATCTGTTGTTCCCTCACCTGTGTCACGCAGGGTTGTATATGAACATGGGTTCTCTCTCTCTCTCTCTCTCTCTCTCTCTCTCTCTCTCTCTCTCTCTCTCTCTCTCTCTCTCTCTCTCTTTCTCTCTTTCTCTCTCTCTCATTCCCTATGTGTCTTTCCCACCTCTCTCTGGGTCCTCCAAGGTTATTGTGCTCACGTCAAACCCTAGTCTCTGCATATAGGCTACAGGCCAGTCTATGTGTATCTCTGTGTGTTGTGTGTGTGTGTATAGTCTGTCCTTCTTAGCCAGCCCTAATAATAGCCCTACTGTCATAAACATAGTCTGGAGATCCTTGCGGCCAGCTGTGTCCGGCCCAGCCGCCCAGGGCTCCGGTAGTGACGCTGATGAATGGCCACACATGCACACACACACACACACATACACATACGCGCACACACATACACGGACAGACACACACACACACACACACACACACACACACACACACACACACACACACTAAGTTTGGTGTGGCTCCAAGCACATTCTCAGAGCTCTTGCCAAGCCAAAGGCCAAGACCTACAGCACCATCAAACTGCCATTTACACTGTGTGTGTGTGTGTGTGTGTGTGTGTGTGTGTGTGTGTGTGTGTGTGTGTGTGTGTGTGTGTGTGTGTGTGTGTGTGTGTGTGTTCCTATATATTGGTGAGTTGTCTTGAGTGGACTGGTAAAATAAAGAAAAGATTTAAACAGAGACACTGAGAAATTGTACCAGACAAACAGATTTTGTAAGTAGGCATGTGTTGGCTTCGTGCCGTTTCATTGTGTACAGCCATATTTCGACACAGCCGAGAGGCGGTTTCGCTGGTGGCTAGTCAGCGCAGGGGAATAAGGGGAAGAGGGAGGACCGGAGGGGGAACAAAGCCTTGCGGCAGTGTATATGGGTGTCACATGGAGCCGAGGCAGCGGAACAATGGCTCTAATGTAGGAGAACCCCCCCCCTTTGGTATACCCCCTGTTCTCTAGAGATGACATGCTGCCCTCACACAGAAGCACACACGGCATCTGGATGCACACACATCAGATGCACACACATCAGTTGTATCAGGACAGAACACATTTGCAGGAAGTGGAAAAACCCCAGTCTGTCTATGTGGCTGAGTGTAATGTGAAGAAGTATTCTTTTCTGTTAACTCGGTGCCACTATTCACATCCTTTCTGCTCTCAAAAGCCAGCACGGAGGCTGCTCCACGGCAGTTTAGTTCTTTAGTATGCACTGCCAGACTGTGGTGAATATTTATAGCTGGAAAAAACGGCTCTGCACTGCTCGATCCGATAAGCAAATGAGGGAAAGAGGTAAATTAAGCCCACACAGAGTCCGGAATTCATTCCGATGGGGGGGAAGAGCAGAGGAGGGCACAATCGATTCGGAAAACTGCCACCTACGGCTGATCCTTTACCCTCCACCCTCTTCCTCCGTCCCTTTTTCTACCCCCCCCGCTGCCCCTGGGGGAGGAATTCCTTAACCCACACCGCCATCCCCCTCTCCTCTACTGTTGCCCTCCTGCTTCTCCTTCTTCACACTGCCCCACCGAGGTGTCTCTGGGGAGACATGGGGCAAGAGCTGGAGGAGGGAGGAGGATGGGGGGGATGTGTGCGTGTGTGTTAGGGGTGAGAGGGGGGGTCAATGAGCTGAGAGTGGGAAGCTACAGCCATAATAAAGAAAAAAAATAGCAGAAAAAACCCAATCTCTCCCTGTCTCTCTCTCCGCTTACAATTTCCATTCGCTTGCATTTTCTATTGAAAGCCAATAGCGTTGTCCTGGGCCCTAGATGGATGGCTGCACTAGAGCTAAGGTTTAATCAATAGGTCTTTTTAATTTGCCATCGATCCACGTTAAAAGCTACTGCGGCTGTTGCTGCTGTTGCTGTGTGTGTGCATGCATCTGTGAGTGTGTGCAGCTGTGTGTGTGTGTGTGTGTGTGTATACGTGCACAGGCCAAACACATTGTGTATGTGTTTTTGTGTGAATACATGATGTACTTGAATGCGGATTTGAGCGTCCGTGTGTCTGTGTGTGTTTGTGTGTGTGTGTGTGTTCTGGTGTGCAGCAGAGGCAGAGATGGTTGCTGTGCTTCGGTTTATTGACATTCTAGCCCATTATTTAATTATTTAATTCCCAGACAGATACTAATGGAGCTGGCTAATAGATTGCGGTTGCTTTCCTTTCCTTCCAAGCCCCTGAATATACGCATAAATTGGATTAGGCTTGACTCTGCCACTGTAGGATAGCATTCACAGTGCCATGCAAAGCCTCTCCCTTGAGACTGTATTCTCCTATAGGCACATCAACAGCTAAAAATGCACTTAGTTGCACACCCAGTCAGTGAGGCATGTCATGTGTGCAGATATCAGAGGCAGCTATCAGAATGTGTCATCTCTGCTATGTGTTTGTATGTTTTTGGACTTGCTATTGGTTCTCAAGGAGATGCAGGTCTAAGAAGGTCTCCCCACTCAGTGATAAGGGGATAAAATAGCCCTGAGGGGGCTAATGATGCTCAGTGGGGGAGGTTGAGCAGCAAATTCCACACATTGTGCACATGGTGTGTGTGTGTGTGTGTGTGTGTGTGTGTGTGTGTGTGTGTGTGTGTGTGTGTGTGTGTGTGTGTGTCTGTGTGTGTGTGTGTGTGTGTGTGTGTGTGTGTGTGTGTGTGTGTGTGTGTGTGTGTGTGTGTGTGTGTGTGTGTGTGTCAGGGCCAATGGAATGATCCTAGCATGTCCTAGCATTATCATCAAGGCTGTGTTGCTTTGTCAGCTGCCTGATAAACACACAAACACTAAAGCACACAGACATTCTTCTCAACCCCAGCTTATTTTTTAGCTAGTGTTAATTCTGCTCAGTGTAAATAAACTAGCCAACATACAAAGAGAAATACCTGACTGACCATCTTTCCCCCGTCCTTTCCTTTGTCTAGGTGACCGCATTCGTCAGACTGAGAACCGTGCAACTCGCTGTAAGGTGGAACGCCTGCAGCTGTTGATGCAGCAGAAGCGCCTGCGCAGGAAGGCCAGGCGCGACCAGCGTGCTCCTTATCAGTGGCTGCCCAACCGGAAGGCTGGACGCAGCAACAGCAACAGCAGCATGTCCAGCGAGGGCTCCCTGGACCTGGACTTTGACGATTCAGTGTGGAAGCCCGACGTCAAGGCTGACTTGAAGTCCGAGTTCGTCATGGCCTGAACCGTCTGATCCCACATGCTGTGGGGGATGGATTCAGAGATGTGCAAGGCATTGCTTGGGATTTACTTAGAGATATATTTTGAGAGAATGGATTGGCAGGAGGTGACACAGAACTGTGCAAAGGGGAAATCAAAGTTGTGACTGGCGTCTGTCACTTGAAAAAAAAAAGGCTCCCTACAGACTTTAATCCCATTCTGTCATTCACAGTTGACCTTGTGAAAAACAGCAACAATAGCAACAGAACTTTCTTTTGATGCTTGGATTTGGACAGGCAACTACTGGACTTAACAGTGTACAAGACTTTTTACAGTATGATTACAGAGACCGTACCTGAACTTGAGCATAGCAGAATTCAGTGGGTGGTGGTGGTGGTATTTTTGTTTTCCTTTTGTTTTCTAAGATTTGTTTTTTAAAGCGCACTCTGGACAGCAATGAAGAGATCCACACTGGACTTATTAACAGGACAGGAGCACCAGAGGCCTCAGTGTTTCCTAATCACAAGAATGGCAGAACTGCCGAACTATGGATTATTCCAATGGGCATTCTTATCGATCTCAAAACTCACCAACCAGAGTCTAGTTTTTACTTGTTACGGGGTGGTTAAACTTTCTTTTTTTTTTTTTTCATTTTGAAACATATTATTATATTTTATAAACAAAATATGTAGCATTGTTCACAAAGCATTCAGGTTTTCATATAACAGTTCAAAGTAGTTTGCACATTTTCTTGATTTATAACAGCTGGTCAATGTGTGCAAGAAGGAGGTGGGGCCTGAAATAGAATTAAAAAATGAATATGGAAGTATTGATATCAACCTCAGTGACATAGGGTATCGATAGGAATGATTAATGAATAAACAAAATGAATTAATATTAACAGAAAGTGCTTTAGAGGATTTTAAAATCTTTAAAATGTATATGGAAAAAAAATAATCTATTTTTTATTTCTCTTCCTATCTGCTGTTTTCAAAAAACAGCAGCCCTCTGTGGCTTTAGTCAAGTCGTTGACTACCAACAAATACGTACATCCATCCAATCATTCATTAGCTCATTCATGAATTATAGTCGTCTAGCCACAACAAATGATACGGAAAGATAAATTTCATCCAGCCCACCTCATGTCGTACAGACCTGAATGGACTTGTTGAGGGTTTGTATTAGTTTGTGTACATATATGTGACAATTGGCAAAGGTTTATGAGGGTGTGTGTATGTTTGACTTTAGTGTAAATTGATTTATAATATCCCATGTTTTTGTCTGAGTTGTCTTCTCCCAAATAACTCCTTGGTTTCTCAAAATCCTGAAGATCAGCTGCAGTGAATGCATGGGTCACTACTTTATATCACAGCTAGATAAAACGTCAAAATTCTTAGTTGGTTAACAGTTCTAGGCCCATTTGATGTGTACCTTTCCTCATAATAGTGACTCTATTTTTTTATTGGCAAAGAGGGAGAAGAAGTGGGATCTGTATCCAGCATCATTATCTAGTGCCTCCACCAGTACATCCATTGACATATCAGGTTAGGCCTTTCACAGTTCCGCTGCTACTTACGGGGACTTCAGATGAAAAAAAAAAAGAAGCGAGAGGGAAAAAGTGACTTTTCTTTGCATGCAGAAGTGTGAATTACACTGATCTTTTTTCTATTGATGGAAGAAAAAAAAGAAACTGGTGCTGTGGGAATGAAGGTTAACAACTTGCATGAATTTGTGAAGAAAATAAACAATGCTGCTTTTGTTGGTTAGGTTTTTGTAATTTTTATTTTTCAATGTTAGAACAACAGTGTCCTGCTAAAGTATTACGACGCAAAACCAAAACAGATGAAGTTAAGTGTGGACTCGCGTCTTGCTCAGCACTGAACATTCCTGTTGTGTGACAATGAAGACGATGATGATGAGCAAAGAGCAACTGACTCTCTCTCTACTCCCCGAACGCTGGTTTTACCCCCCATTACTCTCAAGGACCCAGACAGCCTACGAACTGTTCAACCACCTCCCCTCCTCCCAGCCTGAACGCCAACAGAGGCTCACGTGGACGTACTCTCGCAGGGAACCAACAGACCAACGGATTTCTAGTGCTGTCCGTCAAAACCTACTCGAGAGAAGCATCCGGTCTGTCTCTTTATCTGTCTGTCTGTATGATCGATCGACCACCCTACCACAATTGCACTCCCAGAGATTGCAGTGAGAGATTACCTTTTTGGTGAACCTCATCTTTTTTTTAAGTGGCCTTACCTTTCACTAAAAAAAATGAGACACTTGGGGACAATGGGGGCGGGAATGTTTTTTTGGTTTTTAAACTTTCTGTGTGCATTGTTGTCGGACTTGTTGTCATCAAGGCGCCATTTTTTGTCACTGAGGACACTGGGCATCTGTTGTTTAGTGCTTTTAGCTGGTGGAGTCTCTATTATGTCAAGGCTTCTGTGCCTTAAAAATGTTGCCCTTGCTGTGTCAGTGTCAGATTTAAGCTTGTTTTCATTGGTTGATACACAGGACTGTAGTATTCGCAGCCACGAGCGTCGTAGATTTTAGGGGTTAAGCGCGTTTGAGCGAATCAAATACTATTCAAAAATTGGTGTTGTTCCTCAAATGCGGCCTTTGTCCCATTTCTTTATTGTGTTGCCATGCTTGTTGGTCTCCGTTGTCCGAACCTCAGATCCCTCTTAACTCCTCCCACCAACAAGCTGAAAAAGCTACAAATCTGTGTAACTTGTGTTAACTGAGGAGGTTTACACCACAGTACTTGGGTGGCAAGTAACAGCCCTGATTCAGAATAAGAAAGGTCCTCTGAGGACTCCAGACTACATGCACTTCCTGTTTCCTTGGATACAACATTATTAAAGGACAATTTATCCCCTGCCCCTCCCAAATTTTATTTAATTTTTTTTGTATATGTATGAACTATACTCTGTGTGTGCCTCACTTCTGTGTGAAACTCAAAAAGATGAAACAAAACAAAAAAGATGACAAAAGCATTACAGAGAGGATAAAAAACAGTATGTTGGTGGAATTCTGATCATTTAAGTTGCCTGTTCTTTCTTGTAGCCAACTATTGAAAATAACAGGATTCAAGAATACAATTTACAATGTTCTAGCTCTAGACCGGTGTAGCACATGTGTGACTGTATTAATTTATGAAACCAAAATGGTAACTGTGAATTATGTATTTCTTTGTGCATTTTTTTAAAAAGCGGGGGAGAAGGTTGTCGGGACATGGCAGCAGCTGATGTTGTGTCCGAAAAAACATTTTGTTTTTGGTGGAATATAATGGAAACAAAACGTGTTTCCGAAAAAGAAAAAAAAGGAAAAAAATGGGGGAAAAAAAGAAAAAAAATGTAAAAAATATATGAATATATTTTTTTTCTTAAGCAATACATTTCAGTGTGACTTGTGATAGAACATTTTCTTTTTTTAGGTAATAAATAAATAAAAAACAAAATGAGTACGTCAGGTGGTCTCCGTGAGTATTCATTACTAACCCATTCAATAACATTGAGTGAAAGCTGCTATTCTGTCTAATATTTCATGTGCGAATCTATTTCATGAGGTTACATGATATGAGTGGCATATGAAAAACAAGAGAAGCTTGGAATTGCATTGATAAAATATTGCCTTACAATATATCAAAAGCTAATGTAATCGATGATTGGACTGAACTATCTCAGTTGGCAGAGGGGTGGTCAGAGCATATAAAGGGATTCATGTATGGACCTACCGGGTAGAGGACCAGGGGCCCAAGAGGTTCAGGTAACAGCTAAGACAGAAGTATGAACTTACTGCCATTACCAATTTTAGTTGGAAAATCAAAGAGCTCAGTCGAAATATGGGTGGTCTGATCCAGATTTTTTTTTGTTGCTAATACTGATCTGATCTGAGTCCAATCAAATCTTTTCATGTTTTAGTTTTTTCTATATAATACATCTGCACAGAAGTTCAGGTGCAGTTTTTAACCAACAACAGCAGTTTAGACTTTTGGTTAACCTGCAAAATGTTACAGAAAAGACCCAGGGACCAAGGGTTTCTGTGTGTGTGGGTGGAAGGATGTGAAGGGGGGGGTGGGAAGGAAGAGGAGGTAGGGGCGGTTCAGTGAGAGAGCCAACAGAAATGTTCTCCACATCTGTGAGTGCAGCCCGGCTAAAGATGAGACAGAATATGGAAGTAGAGTGACAGATTGGAGAAGGAGAATGAGCCGTGCCTCATGTGCAGCCCGCTTCCTGACACATGTACTCACAGCAAAAGGTGTTTTGAAGCAGCACTTGTAGCGCCCCGCTTTTGCTGAGAACAGAGCTTGACTTGGAGCATCAAGAAATAGCTGAAAGAGGATTGAACATGAAAGGGCAAACCTACTGTATGTCAAAGCATGGCTCTGGCGGGGCAAAAAATAACACGGCATATACACACTGTGAGAAGCTGCAACATAGCATGATGACAGACTACTGCTCCTGCACTTCGCAGTGTGTATAGATAGACTGGCATATTACACATCATTTTACAAGGCAAAACCAAAAATGATGTATTCAGTTCAAACATATTTTGTTTGTTCCTAAGCAAGCTGCCACTAAAGAAACATATATATGTGAAGCCATTTAGCAAAGAGCCTCGAATGACTTTCATCTCTGAGATTCAACACACAAATTGCAGGTAATTCCACATTAAAAAGCCATGTGTTCCAGCCAGATGCCTTGTGCTGTTTACACCTTCATTCTGATAATGGCCATGGACTAGAAATATGTTCCCCCGGCCTTTTCTCATGCCTGGCCTCCCTTCCTCTTTCTACAGAGATGATTCTGGTAATGAAAGCCTCCTACACAGTGGCCTTCTGCACATAAGCAAACACACCTCCGCTCTGTCCGTGGCCTGTGGTGAACGCAGGGCCAGCAGAGTTTGATAAGGGAAGCCTGATGAAAGGGGGGAATATCGATGAGGGCTCATTCATTGATTAGCCAATGGTCATGCATTTCCCTGAAACCACAGGGATAGATAGAGGAGCTAAATATGGAGCAATGTAAGCTATTTTATCAGCTAGGTAAACCAAAACATCTGTCGCTTTGTTATTCAACCTGGTATAATGTTGGCTAGCAGCTTCTGTCCACAGTCACCACAAAGCACACAAGCAAATCTGAAGTGAAATCTCAAAACAGACATGGACTGAAACATGAAGTTTAAATGTAAATGGCCTAAAAAAACACACACACACACAAACATTTTTATTTTACAAATGGAATGGAACTATTTCTGACTTTCCTACTCTATCTGTTGCTCTGTTTATTTCTACTGCAGACACAAACCTTTAAAAACGAGTAACAAATAAAAAGTTTTATTTTGAAAAAAGGATCAGTTCTTTTAAGACACATGGACACTGCAAGGTTGAGCAAACATTACTCAAACAGGAGTATATAATGCAATTGTTGGGGACTACTTTCAGCTGCGGATTTAATACGGATTTGGTACTTTAGTGAGAATGTACGTTAGCAAGAATTCTCGACTGGCTGGAAGGTGTATATTAATTTATAGTAACCGGACAGTATTATCTCACATTTATGACGTAGGTGTTTGTTATATTTTCTAAATTATCTTGCCAGTATTAAACCGCAGATAAGATCTTGGAGCTATTTATTATTTGTATAACCAAAACCAATAAAAAAAAAAGATAAATAGAGTGACAGTTGGGTCTTAGCGCACAAGTTATTACATAAACTACAGTGCCCATGTTTATGGTAATGAAGGAACATGTCACCCATTGCAACAGTGTGGCTGTTTTTAGGCAAACATTGGCAATAGTTAACAATTCAGTATTGGGTTTGGTGTTTTTCATGTAATTTGCTCATGTAAACTTTTCTCTTAATTTCTACAATGTATGAGCTGAAAACAAAATATGGCAAAAAAAAAAAAGGAAAAAAAACAAACTGACTTTAAAATGCCAGCATGTTGGTTTGATGAGAAGGTTTCTCCTCCATTTGTCAGTTAGGTGAGACTCAAACAAAAAACAAACCACAAGTGAGTGTTGACACATATTTACAGTGAATATTGCAGGTGTACCTAACAGACTGTACTTATACGTATGGTGATTGTGAGTCTCAGCTTTTTTTTATGGTTTACAGCTTTAGTTTTTACTGGATATACATGACCAAGAGGTGCAGCAGAACACTGATACATTCTCAAAACTTCCAGTCATACTGCAACTATCAAGAGCCTCTTCTGAGAAGTCACTGCCTATTTCTGAATGCATCTGACTGTCAGTCTCAGCCTCCACACTCATCGTCTGCTTTCTGCAAGCTTGCTGTCTGTGGATGTAACTGTCTTTAGAGACAGAATAGAACAGAAAGAGTGTGAGAGAGGCAGGCAGACAGACAGAGAGGGGGGGGAGAGAGAGAGAGAGAGAGGCTCAGCTGCCACCGCAAACTGAAACCCTGTGGCTCTGGGATCGAGAGGAGTTCCGCAGAGCTGGGGTTTCACACGTTGTTGTGTGATCTAAGATAAGACACACTCAGCTGTATCCTCCCATCACTTAAAAACACACATACACAGTTCACACACACATACACACACACGCACACACACACACATACACACACACAAGCATAACGGAAAATATTCCAGGATGTCAGAGTGCACAAAGGCAAGTATCGTATACCCTCAGTAATAATGAAAGTTCATAGCATGTATGTGCACATATCTGCATTTGTGTGTGCGTTGTCTGTAGGTACTTGCATGCGCTGGTTCAAAACCACTGAAAGATAATCAAGGTGTTTTTTGAAAGAAGTAGAAAAATGGATGTATTTATTGCAAAACTGTGTGTTCCAATATGTGAGAAAAACATAGTGCCACCTCAGATCGCAAAAACAGATGACCTTTTAAAGGAAACCCTCGGCTTTATGTGATTTTACCTGTTGCTAATTTAATGAAAGACTTAAGTGCTGTATGTTAAAGTACTCTTGTTCTCTTTCTTGCCAAGAGTCATATGATAAAATCGAAACCCTTCTCATAACTGTAAGGTAAATAAGAAGCTACACTGACTAAGCTTAGACTGGAAACAGGCTGTATCAAAAAGTGAAGTACAAAAACTAAGCTAACCGACTGCCATTAGTAGGCTAGCTTTTCTTTGCTGAAGAAAATCACTCATATCATACACAACAACAGGAGATATAGCCATTATAAGTGTAAAATTCAAGGAAACTTGCTTTTAATTTTCTGATCTTGTTGTTTAAACCTCATCCTTTCTTCTCTTTCTTCATTTTGTTTTCATGTAGTTTGGTCTCTTATTTAAGTACATGCTTCTATCATTTTACATAAGGACAACAAACAACCTCTTTGCTCTAATGAAAGTCCCATCTGCACAAGAGAGTAATGAAGAGAACACACTGAAGAAGCATTTTCTTCAGTTCAGGGCATAAACATCAGAGCTCGGCCTTGCAGCCTCCGCCTCTGTAAGACCCAGGGCTGTTCGCATGGTCAGCAGGGACCTTGTTGTCTTTTGTCTATTTTTGTTTGTTCCCTGCACAGTTGAAAGAGAAGAATGGCTTTCTGTTTGAAACATTACCTGATGGATATTTATGCAGCTGTGAGGCTGTGAAGAGAACCTTTGATATCTTTTTCAGGCTTCACACACACACACACACACACACACACACACACACACACACACACACACACACACACACACACACATGCTCACACTATTCCTCTGTGACACCCTGAACAGGCCATTACTGGGCCACTGCAGGACAAGTGAACACACACATGCACACATTACACTCAAAGGTGCTCAGCTGTCTATCCCCATCGGTGTGGAGTCGACCTCGGAGCTTGACCCCCTGACCCGGGGGGAAGTGGCGCAGAGGTCATGGTTAAAATAAACCCTGGAAACTGGGTAAACAGGATGCGTACACCCACCCAGACACTTGGCACTCACTAATCAAACAGTGCTGAGCTGGGAGCAAAAGAAGTGGAAATCATCTCTGTGGAGACTAAGAGCGTGCAGTATTAGAAAATGGATCAAGCTGCTTAGCAACAAAACCAGCTCCTGGAGCTGAGAGACTTTTCTCTCACCAAATGTACAGTCATTTATTTTTATAAGACTAAGACTTCTGAGTGGGAATTTTAAATGTCAAGGTATTACATACAGTGAGTAGAGTTCCCGTCACCAATCACAGACAACCATAATGCACAGTTAAAACGGATCACTAATCAGGCATATACTGTACCTGTGCTGTGCCTCTATTCCTGTAGTATGACTGTATGGTTCAATTATTACAATACAAACCTTGTGCTTCAAGCCAAATGTGTGCCAATCTTGATTTTTTTTGTTGGTTTCTGTCGAGGAAGCTGGCAGGTAAAAGCATATCACCATATAAAACATATTCAGTAAATGTGACAACAATTAATTATTTTACCTTGTGATCTGAGTAATGGTTACCTTGACACTGAATTCCCATTTTGGTTCACTTCAT